AAACCAAACAATATGACAATTCGAATACGAATAGTACGATATCAATAAAATACTCTTTGCAAATAGATTAAAAGAATATATATCATGTATAAACCCTAAGTAGAAATCAATATTTAATACCCGAGAATATTATACATGAACTTCAATTCGAACAGATCAAAAATCTCGATTCAATTCTCTTGTAAAACTCTCCATTTAGATCTCGATTAATAGAATATATATCATGTATAAATCACTTACACAATCTTAAGTAAAAATCAATATTTAATACCCGAGAATATCATACTGAAACTTCAATTCGAACAAATCAAAAATCTCAATTAAATTCTCTTGTAAAACTCTCTGTTTAGATCTCTTTCTCCTTTTCTTTGTTTCCGCCAACAACTTCTTGGTTTTCAAAAACTTTTGGTTTTTTTTTTCCTTATGTTTCCATCCAGTTGCTCTTTCTAAAGCACACATAACATATCTACTTTAACATTCTCTAGAGATGACAGCACACACACTTTCATTATTTGAGTCTTAACAGTCACCTCACTATTATTAATTATTACCTTATTTTTTTTCTTTCTTTACCTTCTTTGTTTGTTTTATTCCTTCTTTCTCTTGAATCTATTATCAATTACTTCATTTATCAAATTTATTTACCGATCTACTACCATTTTTAACTTATTTACCAAACTACCGTTGTTTTAAAGGCGGATTTGGCAAATCCAACTTCATGGAAAAAGCGGATTTGACAAATCCGACTTCATTTTGAAAGCGGATTTGATAAATCCAACTTCAATTAAAAAACGGATTTGGTAAATCCGACTTCATAGGGAAAGCGGACATACCAAATCCATCTTTATATGGAAGGCGGACATACAAAATCCGCTTTTATATGGAAAGCGGACTTACCAAGGTGCAAGCCTTTATATGTATAATTGTGTTGATCGCCAAAATAGTATTTGACTATTTATTGAATACGTTTGGTCTCTCTGATTCTATATTCTTTGTGAATAAATTACTCAGCTTTATTAGTCGTTAAAAATCCACTAATAAATTCTATCTAAATTTATTAGTTATAACCCGTGTCTGAAGATACGATAAAATATAAAATTCGAGCATCCAAAAAATCGAACCCACTATATTAAATTTTTTCAAAATATATTAATTACAAATTAATCAAATATTAAATGATTAAATATATGATAAAAATGAGTGATTTATTTTTTAGGAAAAAAAAATATAAAGTCAAGAATTTCGGGTGGTATCCCAGTAAGAAAATTAGATGAAATATTAAAAAACGGATTTTGTATGTCTGCTTTCTAAATGAAGTCAGATTTGGTATGTTCACTTTCCCTATAAAGTCAGATTTGTTAAATCCACTTTCCAAATAAAGTTAGATTTTTCAAATTCACTTTCCCCATGAAGTCGAATTTGTCAAATCCACTTTTAAAACAGCAGTAATTTGGCAAATAAGTTAAAAACGGCAGTAAATTGATAAATAAGTTTAATAAATGGGATAGATTGATAATAGATTCCTTTCACTTCATGTTAACGATGGCCAACTTCAATCATAGTTTGCAAATCCTTTAGTTTCATTAATTATAAATATACCACAAAATTTAATATTAATTATGTTTTCCTCCACAAAACTTTACATTATTTCTACTTAAATTCAATACTTCTATTAAAAAATTCAGAATCTCACAATCTACCCCCTTAAAAGAATTTTTCTATTAATTTCCACAGCAAACTTTTTTTTTACATCATCTACGATTTAAACATATATATAACATATTAAAAATCAAGGAATCCTTCATGTAATTATCAAAAAGCTACATTCTCATCATCTCCAACCGTCCAGAACTAGCACCACCACTTTTTTTTTTCAAAGTACTTACTTTTTAATTCAAATATCTAGTACCGTTAATCTCAATGAAAAACATAGTGAACTTACTTCCCACAAATTCAATATAAATCTAAAGTCTAAGCTCTAATACTAAAATTTCTAACACCTCAATCCATTTAGCAATATTTAAAGTGATAATTACCTCAACAACGAATAAATTGAATCTTCATTAAATATCAGAATCACTAAATACCTCAAAAATGAATAAATAATCTCTCGATAACAATTTAAACTACATTCAATCGAAAATCTTTCATTCTTTATTCAACCCGATTCTTTACCAAATTTTACTCCAAGTTTAACCTGCACCTGAAAGGGTAAATTGGGTGGTGAGTTAGGGAAAACTCAGTAAGTAATCCAAAATAAAATATATGAAGTCAAAGAGCGAGATGATAATTTATCAACTAATTGATAATCAATAAATGACACATGACTTAATATCATAATTTACAAAGCGCAAAAATATTGAACATGTCAACGAACTTGAATGTTCAAATAATTAAATCAATTATGATTGAATACTTAATCAATCCCAACAACAAACTAGACATAACTCGGTGCATTTTAATACAGTCATGTTCACCTCCCACGGGCACGAACACAATTCATAATCATAACTATGCCACCCATTGTACTTCACTCATGAATCGAAAAATCTCAAGTATTCCACCAATACTGGCATCACAACGATTAACAATAAGTTAAATAAAATATCAACAATCCTCAATAAAAATTAAATCTAATACCCAAAAATATCATACTAGAACTTCAATTCAAACGAATCAAAAATCTTGATTCAATTCTCTCGTAAAACTCTCCGTTTAGATCTTTTTCTCCTTTTCTTTGTTTCGGCCAACGACTTCTTGGTTTTCAAAACTTTCGGTGTTTTTTTCCTTATGTTTTCATCCACTTGCTCTTTCTAAAGCACACGTAGCATATTTGCTCTAACATTCTCTCTACTTGACAACACACAAACTATCATTACATGAGTCAAAAGTGTCACCTCACCATTGTTTTCTTCTTCTTTTTTGTCCTTTATCTTCTATCTTTGTTTTATTCTTTTTTTTGTCTTCTTTAAGTAAAATCATTCACGTTAACAGTAATATTATTTAAACTTAAAAATTTAATCTAATTTGTTGACATAATGATGTGACTAAATAAGAATTATTAGATCAATACCAAGTTCCAATGTTTAATGGGCCTACAGTCAATCCAAAGGTCACAGTGAATTAAATCAACAAATTATGTCAGATTTTTAGGTTTCAATAACATTGATCTTCACGTTAATGATGGCCAACCAACAAAAAATAACTTCAATTATAATTTGCAACCCTTTAGTTTCATTAATTATAGATATGCCACAAAGTTTAATTTTAATTATGTTTTCCTCCACAAAACTTTACATTGTTTCTACTTACTTAAATTCAATACTTTTATTAAAAAAATTCGGGATCTCACAGGAGCTTTTCCTTCAAGCCATCAACTTCATTCCATCAAAAAGTAGGTGAAAAAAATAAAATCCTTATGTATTTGAATAAACCCAATATCTCTTGTAATATAGTGAGGAAACATGAAAATCTTAAGAAAAAAAGTAACCAAAACATTTCATTGATTTACCATTTTTATTTTTTGTAATCTTTGCATTTCTTATTCCTTCTATCTTTTCATATCCATTTCCACGAACAAAGAAAGGCTTATTCATGTTATTAATATGAGCAATACTATGGAGACCTAATTTGCTGACCTAATTTACTATGACCTTTGGATTGACTATGAGGCTCATCAAACATTAGAACTTGGAGTTAATCCAATGATTTTACTGAAACTATATTATTATGTCAATAAATTAAGCCAAATTTTTAAATCTAAATAGTATTACTCTATTAGTATATAAGGGTAAAATTGTTATTATTTTTTTTCCTATTCAGCCAATCGAAGGAAAGAGAACTTCTTTGGTGAGAGGTACCTTATTCGTTTCCTCTACCTTTTTCATTTTCCAGCCATCAGACTACAGACCAATTGGCACATTAAGTTCAACAGTGTCACATTCTAAATTTGATTATGTAAGCGTCCACCAAACTTAAAACCAGTTGACATGCAGTTTTCTCAAAGCAAGAAAGTCTTTTATGTGCTGTAAAGCCAAATTAAATCAGCAAATAAGCCTTGTGCTAGGTCAGGGCATGTTCTATAAATAGGATTATGTATATATGCTCTAAAAATGGACTCGAAAAGTAATTACTGATCATTTGATTTACAAGCAATTGCTATTGTTCTAGGTTTGACCTCTTCAAAACAGAGGTAAAACTGTTTACCATTTACTGCTCTCATACCCCCTATAAACAAGAGCTTTGTGCAATGGGGTTATATGGCCTTTTCTATAGTTGTATTGTGTGCTAAGGAAAAGTCTGAAATCCGTAAAAACATACTAGAAATATAAACACTTCCAACCATTTTAGGGCAGCATATTTCACTTTTCTTTTTCAGCAACTTCGTATCATGAATATTGCACAAATAATGGCACACGCAATCAAGTTGTATGGATTCCTAGCATGAGATGCTCCACTGACCCCCCATGTCGCCCTGAAAATGTAACTCCTTTGGAAAAGGAAACTCGTATTTCAGTGCCAGCACGATTAAATGAACACACCTAATAAGTTTCCACTCACATGGAATAAGAACTACAATACTGAAATATTTCTTTTCAGTAATATCTCAAATTTACAACTATTTCGGGATGGTTTATAACAAAATTGGGTGTTTGGGACCAATTTAGGATCGATCCTAACTAATTTTTGCATAATCCATGCAGTTGTAACCTTCTATACGAAAGTCTTACCCATGTGTATGTGTCAGTTGTATTCTCTTATGGTAAAAGGTCATTAAATGAGCTGGTGGCTAATAAAATGCAGCTCTTCAGTACTATATTCACATTCTGGAAAAGACATAAATGTAAACTAGCGCGACAGAATTGGATTCCTTCCTTTAACTCCACTGGATGTTTTCTTGATAGACAAAGAATCCAGAAAAGCAAAACAATCTAAAGATAAATTCACTGGGTGAGTTTCATCTTCAAACAGAAAGGAATAAAGCTATAAAACCCCATAGCCCAAAGCCACCACTAATGCATCCTAAAAAAGAACTACAATTGTGCCAATTACCCGGGCCAGCAGAGTATGAGCGATGGCACTAACACCACAACACCAGCAGGGAGTTGGTGGACCAGACAGAACTATGATGGCTATGCGCCGAACAACAACAATTGGAACCGTGTGCACCCCATGTATGCCCATTCGCTTCCTTCCAGGGCCATTCCGGTTTGTACATTATGCCTATCGGCAACAAAAGAGTTTCTACACATGCATACATGTTTGTAACTATGAAAACCCCAACGGATCATCAAATAGCACCCCTGCAATGTGTTTAGATGGAACCTAAAGTATTGTGGGGTTAGGTGTTTTTGATGAAGAAGGCTATTTATTCTATTGTATAGGATGATTACATTATTATGTCGCTCATTGGTGTGTTTCCAGAATGCCAGAGGAGGTGCACAGGATCCACGGTGGCCATCGGAGGAGAGAACAACAACTGGGCCTTTAGGTTTAGCAAGGTAATTAACAATTCATTTCGTAGATGGTCCTTGTTGATTTACATTTAGTAAGTCTACCACTCCAAATCACGGCTATTTGCTTTCATCTTCATTTTTGTGGAAAAGATAAAGAATACAAGGGATGGGCGGTCCATACTTTTTTGTAAGCTTTAAGAAGCTAAACAGCTGAGAATTTCAATATATTATTGCATTTTCCAAAAAACAAAAAAAAAAAAAAAAAAAAAAAGCAGTTCATTTTAATTTATTTATGTCAAAATTGTTATCAAAGCATTATGAGGGGCTGTCTTGTGCTATTCACAAACTTCCCCTTACATATTTTGTAGCCAATGCATTTAAAAAGTTGACAGACAAGCATTGAAGGGCCTATTGTGTGGAAGGTATACAGAAATTTACCCCCAAAAGCAACATAGTGTAGGCATGGACATGTTTAATGGTTAATCGTCTCAGCTCCTATGATCAACCTAAATCCACTTTGATAAGCACAAGCAGTCAGATGCAGATGTATGTGAAGTATAAATTTCAAGAGAAAATATGGCAGAGATTGTAGTTGAGGGAAGAAAAGAGAAAGAAGAAAGAAAAGAAGCACGAGTCTTCCTTCCAACTGTTCTTACTTTTTCATAAGAGTTCTAAGTCTTCTAGAATTTTAATACTATAAACGTGAAAATGGTAGAAGAACCAAACTCCTAAAAAGTAACTCCTTCCTCTCCAAGAGACTACTTTTAAAAATTCTATTATTTCATGAATCCATGGGATTTTTAAATATTTTATGCATCAAACATGAATAATTAGCCCACTCAAGTACTAGGATATTTTGTCCAAAAAAAAAAAACTATGTTTGAATCCTACATCTGTTGCTCTTCACTTGAGTCTAAGTGGCTTACTGCCAATTCTTCTTTTAAGAAGAATTGGTTTGTGAATCCCTCTCTATGTGTGTGTTGAGTTTTGCCTGTGTGGATTGTTGTGTTTATTTCTTTTGTGCATGTTCTGTCCAAAAAAAAAAAAAAACTATATTCCAATTTCACATCGGTTGCTCTTCACCAGTTCTGTGAGTCTAAGTGGCTCACTGTCAATTCTTCTTTTATGAATAATTGGTTTGTGGGTCCCTCTCTATGTGTGTGTTGAGCTTTGTCGTGTGAATTGTTGTGTGTTTCTTCTGTGCATGTAAAAAAAAATACTAGGATATTGAAAAAGACCAACTTCATAGGCGATGGAGCTGTTAACCCATGGCTAAACATGATACCAAGTCAAAGAATTGATCCCCCCCCCCCCCCCCCCCCCCCCCCCC